ATTAGGGTTTCAGACAGGGGGAAGGAGGAAACCCAGAAACCCTAGCCGTCAGCCACCTTGAAGCCACCACCTTCAACCTTCAAATCGCCGCTATCCACCATCGCAGAAACGTGAATCGTATCAGCCACCAGAATCGCGATTCCTTCGTCCTCCGCCACCAAGCGTGATTCGATCTCCTTCCTCGCAAGCTTCGCCGCAACCTCCCCCAAACCAGAGATGCAAGCCTCTCCGAATTGCGCCTTTTTTTTCGCATCTCGCAGCTGCTTCGCCAAACCTTAGCGCCACAAAACTGCCGTGAAGACGCTGCCATGATTGCAACCACTAACCTTCATCACCCTCGCACCTGTCAGAGAAAACACGCAGAAACCCAATCACAGAGAAAATCAAAATCGCGCAGCTGTTCGAAAGCCATGGCGCGAATCATCTTCTCCTTCGTTCATCTCCACCTGTAACCACAATCAGACCTGCAAACAAACCTAGTAACAGAAGAGAGCCATCTCCATTCGGAAATTCTGGTGCGGGAAGCGGAGAAAGCATTTTCCCATTCTAACTGCGCGTAGGCAGAGGCACAAGGAGAAACCCTTTCCCATGGTGGCGGTGAAGACTGGTGCCACGATTATGATTGCGGCGGCTTCTGTGAAGATGCAAAGACGACAATGATGGTCGGTGAGGCTCGAGTTGGCGGCGCTGGTACGGCGGTGGTTGACGGCACGGTGGTTGACGGCACGGTGGTTGAAGGGAATTATTGAAGAAGAACGATGATACCTCGTCATTTATTTTAAATATTTTTTAAACTTAAAATCAAATAAATCCACGTCATTACGCCACCTCGTAATTAAATCACACCTCAACATGCCACATTGCAAAAAATTAACGCCATCCATAGAATTTAACGGCAAAGGCTTTATTGATTCAAAATTTATCAAAACAGGGACCCAATTGAAAACGTTTATAATACGAGGACCCAATTGATACAAATCTGCATAAATAGGGACTTTCGAACCTATTAAACCTAGAAACAATAATAAAACACTATAAAAAAAACTAAAATATATTAATTTTGAATATAAAAAATCATATTATATCATAATTTACATTATCAAGCTGTCTTGATTAACATATATAAGACTCTCACAGTGATTTAAAAATTTAGATGTTAATAAAAGAATATTATACTATGGATTTGAAAATGGGAAATAAAGTTATTTTATTTAAAACTTGAATAGTTATAAAACTATAAGATCATGTTATACTAGAGAAATAATTAATTGGTGTTTTATACTTTACATAAATACTTTAAGAATCAAAATTAATGTAATGTGTGTTTGTACAAATGGAAGATGTTAAAATATCAGTATTATTCTTTCTATGAATTTTAAGTATCAAAATTAATATAATAATATTATGATATTAAGATTTAAGTTTTTGGAGTTAAATACCCACTAATTAAATATTTCATTATTATGAGTACTTCGTGAACTATTCATTAATTAAATAAAAATTTACAATCAACATTAAAAGACTAACTCCGGATTAGTGTAATTATTATAGTAATTAAAGCATTTCATATTAAAACAACATAAATCAATTTTACAATCCAAAAACAACAACGGTAAGTGAACAAATTTACACTCATTTAACATGACTTTTATAAAATAATAGTGAGATGACATATATTTTATATTCATTTTCACATTACAAAAATAAAATGGTTACAAAAAATAAACTTTTACATTTAAAAAAAGTGAAATGAAAAAGATAATATCAAAATAATGTAAAAAGTTTATATAGGTAAAAGTATCATTTATCTTAAGTGTGTTTGGATTAGGGAAAAAAATTTGAAATAGAGTAAGCAAATGAATTTGGAGAGATTGAGAGAAGATGGTGGTGTTGCTTGAGTTAAGAAAAATATATAATATAATTTGAGTGAATTTAAGATGAAAATTTATGTATAATGTGGATGGATAATAGAATAAGAAAAATATTCTAATGCATAAAATTATATGATTATAATTTTATCTTAAAGATAATTGTGATATAAATTTAAATATAAATAATAAAAATTATGGTCAAACAAAGTTAAAATTTGGCAATTTAAAATTACAAAAGTATTAATATTATTGTAATAATAATAATTATTATAACTAATATTGTAATTATTTTACTATAATTATTATTTTTATTATTCATTTTATCATATATATATATATATATATATATATATTAATTATAGAAGGTTTGTTATCTTATGTAACTTTGTGTATCAAATTTTAGTTAACAAAGAATCTTTATATGTTATGTATAAGGTTAAGATATTTGGAATAATTTTTTATTATTTTAAATTAAAAAATAATTAAAATACTTATGTATTTAAAGTATGTCTTCTTTTATTAATAAGAATATTTTTTATCAATTAAAAATTAGTACACTTTAATAGGTAATGTAAGTTAACAAACCTATATATATATATAATCATTATATAATACAAAAAAGTGAAGGATAATTTTCGTCCTTGTACATGCACAACAATTTTTTGTTTATCTTTTCACTTATACAAGGTAAATTTAATACTTTAAAATTAACTGAAACAAACAACCTACTTACTCGTAAATTTACACAATACATCAGCAAAAAAGCAAACACACCTTAAGAATTACAATATAAAACTTGTCTACGTATAAACCCAAATAAAATTTGCAATAAATACAAATATTTTTTTATAGTGTTTGTGGTTGATCTTTATATATAAATATTTTAGTTACTCATTTGTTAAATAAATGGATAGAAGTATGAATATTATCATTAGGGATAATTATTTAAATATTTTTTATAATGAAGCGAACATTATTTAAATATTATTTATAATGAAGCGAACATTATTTAAATATTTTAAAAAAAGTGTAATGTTTCGGTTGTCCAGATCCAACTTGGAGCCTAAACTCGAAATCGAAGTTAGATAAATTGTCCATGAACTAACTCAAATACTTGCGATATCTACTTTAGATTTTATTAGAGAGTTTTGAAGATACATGGTAATTTGACTCAAGAAGTGGATTCAAAAGGATGTTTTTATTTCATTAATATATTCTTATAATTCAGAAGATATATCTCATGTTTTGTAGTTATTATATTTTTGGAGCTTAAGGATACATTATGTAAAACTTTGAAGACTATAAATAAGAAGACAGTTACAAGCCTTAGGGACTTAGATTTTCAGACTTAAAGTACTGATAACTCTGAATCTGATTATTTTTTTGGAGACTATAAATAGACCGAGTGATCGACTACCAGGCCGATCACCGGGCTGAGTGGCTGACCACCAGGCCGAGTAGTCGACCACCAAATTATTTAAATCCACGTAATGAGTTGTTACTGTGCCATGTGGTTATTAAATGCTACCTGAGCATGCCACAACACAAGAAATTTAACGCCGTCCACAACAATTAACGGCAATGGCTTTATTAAGTCAATTTTATCAAAATAGGGATCCAATTGAAAACTTTGATAATACGATAACCCAATTGATACGAATTCACATAAATAGAAACCTCCAAAGACATTTTATCTTGTTTATAACAACTACTAATTAAAGTGTTTTTTTTTAAATAACAATAACGTGAGTAATATGAATTAAATGTTTTACAAAAAATTGTCCTCATTCTATTAATCTACCATTTTGTTTCATCAATCAAAATCACTTAATTTTTCACTTTCACCCATCCACTCACAACATTGTAAAAAAAAAAGTGACTAGGCTAGGTTCACTCCAAGTCATTTAAAAAGGAAAAAAAGGGTCGAACCTAAAACTACACGTTACATATAATAAATCTATTTCTTAAAGAAATAGCCCCTAAAATTTTTGAAAAGAGAAATTAAAAGGACTACAAGTCTAATTCCAACAAAGATGTCCATCTACCATGCCATTATTAACCAATGCATGTGCTATCATAGAGTAATAAATATAAAAATAATGAAAAACAGTGTAAAAAAACATTTAAAAGGTAGTAAGCTGAAAAAAATAATATAATGAAACATAAAAATAATAATTATAGTAGCATTACCTTTTTTTTAACTCGTAAGAAAAAAAAACCCGTAAATTTCACTTATTTTATTTCTATCTTTTTATTTACTTCCTTTATTCTTTTTTATAAAAATACAATATGGTTTAAAATAAATCAACCTAATTCATTCGAGTTGACTCATTAAAAATAGTTTTTTTTAACTCCCTTTTTAGTAAATTGAAAATTTTATAATCGAATTCAATTAATCATATATTGATAAATTAATATGTTAATTCATTTACAAATATTCTTTTATAATTTATTTTATATATTTATTGTAATATAATAAAAATAAATTGACTTAATTCATATTTTTATAATAAAGAAATCAAATATATTATCTAATTCGTCAAATATTATAAAAATAATAATTGACTATCAGAGTCTTAACATAGATAACTTAAACAATATTTTAATATTTAAAAAATCAAATGATAAATCTACATAATTAAAAAATAAATGATTTTATTAAAATAATTTATAAAAAAATATTGTTATTAATAAATTAGGAGTCAATCTGTTTTCAATTTTTCTTTTTGTGAATTGAGTAAACCAAACTCACTTCAATCCACGTTAAAAGCAAAAAAAAGAAACTAAAAATAATTTATCCGATACTGGATCAGATTGACTTAAGAGTTAAAACTCACTTTGAACTCTCTAAAGATTATCCTCCCTTTATTTATTATTGTAAGATAAAAAGGAACATTAACTGATTTCCTTAAATGCTAATTTAATAGAGAACACAAAACAAAACCCACTATTCATTACAAATACACCATCGAACAACATTTCATCATCATACACAACGATATCACGATCTAAATGCACAACCATTAGTCATAAAATATTGTAAATTCATGATTCTAAAAGAATTGAGAAGCATTAGGGTAGAAAGATAAATATAAGTTATGAATGAAAAGTTACGCAAGGGGTGATGTCTCAGCCCACTGTTTCTGCTATGTTAATAAGGGGGAAAACATGGGAAGCTGATTTAGCATCAGTATCCGCAAGAAAACAACCTTAGCCGTTTGTCTATAAATACGACCGACCGAGCCAGCTGCGTTATACTACTTCGCCCTTAACTTTTACAAATTCTAGATTTGGACGTTCCCTTGTTTCCGCTGTCCCACAAGGAAACTCTGTTAAGGTCCAAGTTGCCCAAGGGAACTGGTGGTAGTAATTGTTGCTGTTGCAGGAGAAAAATGTGGTTCGTGTACGTTTGCGAAGAGGAAGAGAAGGAACTCGGAAGACAACAAGCCCCCGGTTCCTGTCCCTACTGTGGAGCCAAAGTTCAAGCCATGGATGTTGAGATCCAGTCCAAGCTCTGCTTCTTGCCCCTCTGCTTCAAGATCAAGAGAAAGTACTTCTGTACCCACTGCGCCAGGCGTTTAGAGCTCTATTACTGAACCCAAACCAAATCCTCAATCCTCAACACTCCCTTGAACAACAACTTCTTGTAAATATACATATATAAGTCTAGATTAGGTGCTACTAATCTTAGTTTTCTTTCCTTTTTTTAATATGTTTGCTGAGGATTTTTGGGTGAGAGATGCTATGTCATATTTAGTCATTGAATCGGTTCAAGATTAAATCTTTTTTCTATTTTTGCCTGTTTTTCTCTCTCTTTCTGCATCATTTAAAGTTTCAATATTTTTTAAATAACTGGGTATCCTTGAACGATATACAGAGGCTTGATTTGTGAAACTGTACAATGGATATAGGAGTGTTGATGGGTGATGGGTACTGGTTTGTTTTTTTTTTTGTTAGAATTTCTTGTTTTTTTTTTTTTCTGGGTGGGTACAAATCAGAGTATGCAAATGTCAATCAAATCCTCATGTCCCAGCTCAGCACTTTTGAGATGGTGTTTTGTCTGAAAATTTAATAAATGGTTGAGTTTGAAATTGCTGGGTCAGATTATTGCAGCTAAAAGGTTTGAAAATTAATGGCATAAATGCATAGTGCCTCCCCTGGTTTATCACTTCTCTTTCATTTTCTTATTTTATGCCTTTTATCTCTCTTTCGTTTTCTTTGTCTTTTTTGGATTAATTTTCTGATATACACCAATCCCTCGGAGAGTGACTCCTGCAAAGATGATTCATGAGGACAACATACTTTCTTAAAACAGGAGGTTTTCTCAGTCTTCAAAAGCTTCGTTTTATGGTAAATATTAATAACCCTTGTGGTCTAAAATTATGTTTAATATGTAAATATCGATAAAAATAAGTTTAACATAATCAAATTTGATTTTTTGTTGAAGACATAACTATTCCGGTAAGATGTGCTGGAATTTCTATGCGTTAAGGTGGAATTTTTAACCTAATTTTTATCTTTTCTAATCTTTTATCTTGCGTTAAACTTTTCTCCTATTTCTTTTCTTCTTAACCTTAACCTTGTCTTGTAAATTATACTCGTATTCGTTGAGTTTGAAGAAAAATAAATAGAAATTAAAAAAATAGATTAAAAGAAAAAATTAAAAAATTAATTATTTAGTAGAGTAGAAAAAAGTAAAAATAAATATAATTTGATTTATTTCATACAAATAAAAAGTATACAATAAAAATATATTTTTATTATTTTTTTATTCTTGCTAAGGAGATAAATATTAATTAGCTTTCTCTGCTTTCTTCACTATGCAACAAACGATAAAACACATTTATTTTGGGGTGGTGGGGAGCTGCACTACCACCACATCCAGTTTCGGAAATTCAGAACTGTCTCTTCTGAATCAGAAAACAGCCTTTTCTATTTCAGAGAGGAGTTTGGAGTTATATCGAAAATAAAACAAAAAAATCCCATTCACCATTTATTTATTTTTGACTTTATATTTTTCTACAATGTCCATTAGTTCAACCTCAAATCATGTTTTGTCCTAAAATGTTAATATCACAAATATTTTACACTCAAATTTTACAAATAAAATGTTTCAGATGATATAAAACATTTGAATTAATTTGATTTTTTTATACAATAAATGAAATTTGACTTTAAAAAAAGAGCACAAAACATCACTTTAATTATTTTTATTTTTTATATGAAAGATGAAATTTGAAATTTATAAACATTAATGTTTCAAGATGGTAGGAATCAGGCTTGTAGACAGTGTTCAAAACTATTGATAATTTTCAACGTATTTGTTCTTATCATTCGAGTGTCTTTGTATTTTGTGGTTGAACGGATTATTTTGTGGTTGAACGTGTTATTTTGTGGTTTAACGAGTGTTGATAGTGAACTGTTCAACTTCTATATAGTTCAAAGTTTGCTTGAATGATATCTACAAGAAATGTTCTAATTTTAAATTTAATATATAATCGATCGTTTAACAAGTAATGTAATTATGTATGTTATGTATATGCGTATGAAAATCATATTTTAAAACTTTATTTATAAGGGTTATAATGAGTTTTGTATATTTTTTATCTAATCATTGTCTAATTATATCTTAATTACTTTTTATTATTTATAAAATTCAATTATATTTAATTTATATTAACGTACCGGTATTGATGAACGTAGACTACATATCAATACATCTATTTCAGTTACACGTTGTTGTTGTCCTTGTTCTCATCTCATATGGTCCACCTAAGCACTAATATATTAAAATGAACAGAAATTTGAAAAGTACTTAGGAGAATTAGTGAAAGTAATGTTATTTTCATTCAGTACCTAACTTTTGAAAGATACTCGAGTTCATGCGCAACAGTATTGTGATTAAATTAAGGGTTAATTTGATGAACTTCTCATTCACGTATACTTGGTACATACATACACTGTAAATACGTATAATCGGAGGTACAGCAAAGGAGGAAGAGAACCGGTAAAAAAGAAGAAGACAAAAGAGAATGGTTGTTTGCCAGATATGCAATTTTGTCGTCTCATGTAGTTTTTTTTTTTTTTTTCTGGTGTTGTTTGTATTGAGTTTTGTTGTCTGGTTTGTGGCATCTGGTGTGTGTGTTCACGGATGGATTGAAAAGAGGTTTATGGATAGATATATAGCAGAATGAAAAGAGAGAGTGATGCAGGAGTAGCAGGGACCCCAACACATGCATTAACTGTACAATTGTACCTTCTTTCCACATGCATACTCCCTCTCTTCTCTCTTTCTCCATTGTTCTCCTTATCAATAGTCAACTTTCTTATACTTTCACCACTTTATTAAAATAGAAATAGACCTTCAAACTTTTACATTTATTATTAATATAACTAAGAATTATTATAATATTTTCGTTTTTTTCATATTTTGTTTGCTTTAGTGTCTTCTGTTTTTTTATATGTCTTTTTCTGTTGTACTTAAGTTAATATATGTATAAATAAAAAGTTATATGATAAACCTGTAACAATAAATAAAGCATATTTTAAAAATCTTATCTATTAACTTCTAGGCTGTGTTCTTTTTAAGGGATTTAAGGGAGATGATTTGGGGGAGATGATTTGAGTGGATTTGAG